TGTGATTTATAAGCGTTTTGAAAAGTGGGGACATGGGGTAATGTCCTGAAAAGTCACCTTCTCACCTGTCAACCTGTCATACCTTTGTCATTATACAAATTTATGTCCTCATTTGTCACAAAAACGCGTACACACACACACACACACACACACACACACACACACACACACACACACACACACTTACATTTAGTCATTTAGCTGACGCTTATATCCAAAGAGACTGAGGACAATATATATATATATATATATATATATATTATACACACACATATACAAACACACACACTTTTTTTTAATAAAAAAAAGAAGATAAATAGAAAAGGTAGAATTAAAATAGAATAGAAAGTGCTAGAGTTAGAGGGTCAAATAAAGATGGAACAGATGTGTGTGTGTGTGTATATATATATATATATATGTTTATATTAGTGCTGTCAAATTATTAATCGCGATTAATCGCATCCAAAATAAAAGTTTTTGTTTACTTTATATATATGTGTGTGTACTCTGTATATTTATTATGTATATATAAGTACACAAACATACATGTATATATTTAGGAAAGAAATATATATATATATATATATATATATATATGCATTCATATACAAACAATATACACACATATTGTAAGTAAATTGTGAGTTGAGTCTGAGCAGTACTTGTATGACACTCAAATGTTGTTCCAGATCAGTAACTTGTGAAGTTCTACTCTAGTTATAATGCTGCCTCAGAAAACAGCTGCCTATGTAGGTAGTAGACAGCAAAGCAGCTCACTAGGTTTTGGAAGAGAGAGCATCTGTTTAGACATTTAGTGTCTGTTCTGTGAAGGTTGGCAGATTTAGCACACTGCTCATGAAAACCCAGATTATGCAGTTTTGGATGAAATCTTTTATGATCTGGTTAGAAGATTGCTAAAAGTTGCTCGAAGACATTATTGCAGCAGCGATGGAAAGTTCTGAGAATATTGCTCATCTGCACTCTTCATATCTTCGTTCATCAAAGTTGTGATGATTTAATAAAACAACAAAGGTTTCTCGCACTCACAAACGTATCAAACTAGTCTTTGATCAGTCCAACCTGCGCTCACAAACCTTCGTTCTGATGGTGTTTTATGGCCAGGAACAATCGGCAGGACTGCCATGCTCACCGCTGACCGCGTTTAACCTTGAGAAGACGTATGGCGACACGATCGCTCAACATTCAATCTCACTGAAAAATGGTGCAGCCATTCTCCAAACAGTGGAGTGTAATGTGAAAGCATCGGCTGTGTGCAGAGCTCAACATTAGATGGCGAATCGAACCGTAAGTGAGGCATCCATCTTATCGCAGAAAATTGAAGCGGCGCCACGTTTTCAAACAGCCCACGGTTGACTGTCTGCACATGAGCTGATCTGAGATCATACGTCCTCAGATAATGTAAAGCAGATTCTCGGGTCAGTGCTTAAACGCACTTAAAGCTTATAGGATTCATGCACGGCTGGTCAAATCAATCCCTCAGTAGAGAACAGAGAGCCATTCTTGTGCAGAATTGCAGTGCAATGACATTTTTGAGTAAAATCATACAAAAATGATAAATATCTCTCTGTTGCATTTCTGCACGGAACAACAAACAGAACAATCAATGTACTCTGATTCACTAATGATTCTTTAAGCTGGTTCTTTTATATCAATCTATTTCAAAAGTCCCTACAGTTATGTAGCCTGTTTTACAAACGAATACATCTCATGGGCTGCTTCGTTTAACTAAATCACTCAAAAAGAGTCATAAATCAGACTCAAACACACTCAAAAGATTTGAATCCCTGAGTCATCTGTTTAAATCAATCAGCAGTACTGGATACTACTAAACCATACAATGACAATAAATAAACATCTTTCTGTTGCATTTCTGCACACGACAACAAACATGACGAACGATCAATGCTGTCTGATTCAGTAATGATTCTTTTAGCTGGTTCTTTATTATGAATCGTTCAAAAATACTCACAAATCAATCTTGAACTCTATGGTTATTATGTAGTCTGATTAACGAACAAATGCATCTCATGAGCTGGTTTGATCGAAAAGAATCATAAATCAGACGCACTTAAAAGATTTGAATCCCTGAGTCATCCATTCGAATCAATCAGTTTACTGAACCATACAACTGCATTAAATGATCTTCTTTCTGTTGCATTTCTGCACACAACAAACTTACAGAACGATCAGTGTAGTCTGATTCAGTAAAGATTCTTTCAGTTGGTTCTTTTTAATGAATCACCCAAAAAAAAAAAACTCACAAATCAGTTGTTATGTAAGATGAATTATGAACAAATACATCTCATGAGTTGGTTCGTTCAACTGAATCACTCAAAAAGCATCATGATTCAGCCCCAAACACACTCAAAGATTTGAACCACCAGTCATCCATTTGAATCAATCAGCGGTTCTGGACTCATTTACTATCATCTAATAGTTACGAACAATTACTGGGACTTTCTAAAAAGAATGAAAGAATCATTAATGGAATTAAAGAGCCAGAAATCGTTAAACTCCTTACAAGGGCCATCCCTAATCAGAAAAGCTGGGAGGAGGGAATGAAGGAACAATTTTTTTCTAATTAAAGACAAGATATCTCTTACCCCATCCGTCCGCTCATGAGCAGAATGAGGTTATAGATGTGAGAGAAGATGAAGAGCGAGAGAATCGTGCTGAAAAACATGGTCATCCAAGAGCCGTGGTCCTCACGAAACATCTTCAGACGCAGGAGACGACCTAAGACGGCAAAGAGAAACCACATTTAACATTTAAAGCAATAAGAGTAGTGCATGTGTCGCGATGCTTGACACATAAGATCATGATGATGTGTATGCGATAAGAGACACTTATACCACTACATTTTAACATACTTATACATTATTATGTTTTTAAATGAGTTTTTATTTCTATAATTTCAGTTTTTATTTTTTAGAAATTGCTATGCACTTTTTGAACTTGTATTAGTTTTTGTTCTTTTAAAATATTACTATTTAAGCTTAATTTATTTTTTATTTAGTTAAGTTTTTTAAAGTTAGTGCTTCAACCATGGCAACATTTCTTTCTTTCTTTTTTAATTATAGTTTTATAAACTTCAACACATTACAACAAAATTCTGAAAGTTAGTGAACTAAATCTGTTTATTTAAATGTAGCTAAAATACATTGATTGCAACCACTTAGCTTAAAAAAATTAGTAAATTCAATGAATCAGGGCTGCACGATAAAGGTTAAACTAATAATCAAGATGATTTTACCCAAAAATTCTAATCATGTTTATTAATCACTATGATTGAATATATTATAGAATTATTGCACTTTCACAACAAATTAAGAAAACATCAACCAGGGTTAAAATTTAAATTTAAATGATTAAAAAATATTTTTGTTTAAAATAAAATAACTATTTATTTATTCAATCAAAAAAAAGTTCTCATTTTAATTCTATTTGACTTGATGCACTAAAATCTGGAATAAATAAATACACAACACTGACTTTTCCTCTCAAAAAGCTAAAACAGTAAAAATACCTCATATTAAGTAGACGAATTCACAAATGATGTTAATGTTTTTTTCTATTAAAACAACAAAATGTGCATGTATTCATACAACACAGTCGAGATTCATGTTTGGATATGTTGCAGTAAATAAAAACTATGAACCTACAGAAAATAGAAGAATACAGAGAAAGAAGGGCCAACTGAAATCTAATTTTCATTACGTTTTTTATCAAATATTTATATATTATGTTAGCTTCATGCCTTTTACCAAAAATGTTTCTATAGATGTGAGAGAAGATGAAGAGCGAGAGAATCGTGCTGAAAAACATGGTCATCCAAGAGCCGTGGTCCTCACGAAACATCTTCAGACGCAGGAGACGACCTAAGACGGCAAAGAGAAACCACATTTAACATTTAAAGCAATAAGAGTAGTGCATGTGTCGCGATGCTTGACACATAAGATCATGATGATGTGTATGCGATAAGAGACACTTATACCACTACATTTTAACATACTTATACATTATTATGTTTTTAAATGAGTTTTTATTTCTATAATTTCAGTTTTTATTTTTTAGAAATTGCTATGCACTTTTTGAACTTGTATTAGTTTTTGTTCTTTTAAAATATTACTATTTAAGCTTAATTTATTTTTTATTTAGTTAAGTTTTTTAAAGTTAGTGCTTCAACCATGGCAACATTTCTTTCTTTCTTTTTTAATTATAGTTTTATAAACTTCAACACATTACAACAAAATTCTGAAAGTTAGTGAACTAAATCTGTTTATTTAAATGTAGCTAAAATACATTGATTGCAACCACTTAGCTTAAAAAAATTAGTAAATTCAATGAATCAGGGCTGCACGATAAAGGTTAAACTAATAATCAAGATGATTTTACCCAAAAATTCTAATCATGTTTATTAATCACTATGATTGAATATATTATAGAATTATTGCACTTTCACAACAAATTAAGAAAACATCAACCAGGGTTAAAATTTAAATTTAAATGATTAAAAAATATTTTTGTTTAAAATAAAATAACTATTTATTTATTCAATCAAAAAAAAGTTCTCATTTTAATTCTATTTGACTTGATGCACTAAAATCTGGAATAAATAAATACACAACACTGACTTTTCCTCTCAAAAAGCTAAAACAGTAAAAATACCTCATATTAAGTAGACGAATTCACAAATGATGTTAATGTTTTTTTCTATTAAAACAACAAAATGTGCATGTATTCATACAACACAGTCGAGATTCATGTTTGGATATGTTGCAGTAAATAAAAACTATGAACCTACAGAAAATAGAAGAATACAGAGAAAGAAGGGCCAACTGAAATCTAATTTTCATTACGTTTTTTATCAAATATTTATATATTATGTTAGCTTCATGCCTTTTACCAAAAATGTTTCTGATAGTTTTAGTTAACAACAGTAACCCCGCGGAAACACATTTTCTGTTCGTATCGGCACAACCTTCACTGATCCAGACATGATAATTAGTACCTGGAAAGCTCCATACAACTAATCATCTCTGCAACCTGTAATTTCTGCTGATTGAACCGTCTGTCCACACGTCGAGCGCCAGGTTTTGCCTCACAGACCCAATGAACCTTTCATATTTTCCTCAACAGCAATCGATCCTCAGAACTGCTGTTTTGGTTTCATGAAGAGGCCTACATCATTACAGCGGCGTTATTCATGACCTGCGAGGAAATTTCCATTATTTTCCTTCACCTGAAGGATCAAATGACAGTAGGGAACATCTTTCTTTGTCTCTGGCTCTCTTTCAGAGCGTGAGATTGATTCAGATGTCGGGGAAGTCGCCCTGAATGCTTAATCGCGCCCTTCAGCATCTGTCACGGAGGTGATCTCGGTCCTGCGAGTGGAGAGGAAGGTTTCACGGCTTTCCAGTGTCTGTTTAAAGTGATTAAAGACGACTAAAGTTAAAGACGGTGTCAGTAGCACTTACACGGACCGAGTCTGATCATTACACACGCGTGGAGCATTTTAACTACGCTAAAGGCCTTCCTTCACTCTAAAATAATGCTGGGTTAAATACAACCCAGCAATAGCTGGGTTTGTCTCTTTTTAACCCAGCGCTGGGTTATATTTAACCCAGCATTTTTTTGAGTGTTTCTGAAACCTATAGTCAGCTGCCTTGGCGTGTACACCCTACATAGGGAGCATCTTAACTGAGATTTGGAGCACACTACATAGGCAGCAACTCAGTGGAGATTTGATTCTTACTCAGTATATCCGTCTTGTTTTCCAGCACAAATATCTAAGCGTTCATAAATCAGGATACATTTACTGGAGAAGCACAATTACATCAGATATTTTTCTCAAAATTAAATCAATTTGGGACTGAAACAAGAAACATATCTGCCAATGGGATCAGAAAAATAACAGTTTTTCCATTGTACTAATGTTATTAATGGGGTCAGAAAAACTCAAATTCAATTTATTTTTCTGACTCCACTGGAAGTAAACACCCACTACATTTTTCTCAGTATTTTTGTCTTGCATTCCAGTAAAACACCTAAACATACTTAAATCAGACAAGCAAAATTACATAAGGTATAAAATTGTGTTTTTTTTTTAATGAAGTAACTTTATGCTTAGATCAAGAACAAATATCTGCAAATGGTAGATATTTGTTCTTGTTTTAAGTATAAACTCACATTATTTATTTATTCATTAGTATTTTTGTCTTGTTTTTCATTAAAATATTTAAACATCCTTAAATCAAGATACATTTATTTGAGAGGCAAAATGACTTAAGATATAAACTCTTGTTTTCTAAACAATAATAATAATAATACAAATGTTTTCCCATTGAATAAAGTTTATTTTTCCATCCCCATTGACAGACATTTGTTCTTGTCTTAAGCAAAAACTTACTTGTTTTATGAAAAAAATGCATCAACAATAAGACTTAATATCTTACATTTCCAGAACATGTATCTTGATTTAAGAATGTTCAGATATTTGTACAGAAAAAAACAACAAAAACAATAAGTAATTTTGCAGCATTATATACAGTATAAGCATATTGAGGTGATAACAACACAATACTCTAATAAACATAAAAAGATACACAAATAATAAACGTTTATTATTGAAATCCATCATCTTATTGCAATGCATTCTGGGATGATCTTCTTTGCAATTTCAATACATGCCTTTTGTTTTCTTCCCTGTGAACGTTACAGTATGTTTCGTAATACACTGAACCGGATGAGATCAAGGACATTTTGATTCCTTAATCATCCACGACCCATAATCTTCACATCTGCGTTCCCATTTTTGCGCTCTCCATCAGAAATGAAATTTGCCCTTTTGGATGCTTCAATCGTTTCAGGAAAGATTCAGTTCGTTCAGTTATCAGTGAATCATCAAGAAAACTCTCTCAAAGTGAATTATTTATTCGCAAAGCTTTCTGAAAGTTGCATCACGTCTCGGCCAGACAGAAAAATCTAATTTGGAGTCAGTAAAAAAGTAGTTCTGCTAAATGAAAATATCCAAGTCTCACACACACACACACACACACACACACACACACTGAGAGAGAGAGAGTTTTCACCTCACAGTTTGTTTTTCTAGCACTAGTGTGTTTGTTTAGCAGCTGACGGTTAATTTTTCAGCCTCTTTACAGCTTGTGAGCTTCTTTCCCAGATACTGACATTCTCCTGTCAGCGATCCGGCGCCGAGCGATTCATCTCTCCATTAGATCCGCGCTCGGGGCCACAGACCGGCCAACCTGAATCAGCAGTAATATATTACGCATATTGTGGCAAAGAGAGGAAGCGTCCTGCTCATTAGAGCTGAACATTTCCATCTGTCCCGCTAACCCTGTCAAACTCACTTTAACTAACAGCGGCCCCAAGAACAAGTCGCCGTAATTATTCCTTTAGCAGCTTCGTCTAATTACCAATGAATGTTACCATAGTAATTCCTGGATGAGACAGCCTTGGCATTTACATTAGCATGCACACATGCATACATTCAATGCATGGCGTATTTTTATCTTGTTTTCCAGCACAAATATCTAAACACTGCAATATGCTGCACACACAAAAAAAATGCTGTCAGTCGGGATTGAAAAGCTACATGACATTCTGCATGCATCCTGCCAATAAATGCCAGAAAGTATGCAAATATATGGAAAACTGCCAAAAGAACATATTTGTAATAAGTACTGTTGTGTTGTTTTTTATTAAAATATCTA